CCAGAAGACGCTGTTCCTCCGCTGCCCCTCAGTATAGGGTGAGCATTTCAAATTAAATAGAAAACATACTGGATAAAGCGGCCTAAATGTGGCATTTTAAGAGGCACTTAGAAAGGCACATTTAAAATGGAGTATGCTGAACTCTTCATGAGTCAACATTGAGTAATGGCAGAGTTCATACTGTAGCATCTCTCCAAGCCTACACTCTTACATAACCATCCTCCTCTTTCAAAACATGCTGTCCCTTCTCCTCCCCGGTTGTCTACTTGTGAATTTATATATTCGCTCATTTCCTTTTTCGGTCACAGTATGTTCCCAGCACAGAATCTGCTCCGTCACATCTGATGTGCCTTCCTCCCCCCTTCACCTGCTCTCTCGCTCTCATAGAGTCTCCCTCCTTATCCTCCTCTGGGACTCCTCGGATCTCTCCTATTCTTTAGAATGTGTTTGATTTGTTCAATCAGCTTCTCTAATAAGACTGCAAACTAATTAGGTTAATCACTGTTCTCCGCAGGGACCTCCAACATGGCATAGAGTGTTTTGCTAAATCTATTCTCAGATGTTATGTATGCTAGTGGTAAATATTTAGTCATCCACTATTTATAGGTATAATATGTAACATTTCCAGTTCTTATATGTCTTAAAACGGTTACATGTATGTTATACATGTTGTTGAGTTGTGCTCTTGCATTATCATAAATGTTTCCAACAATGTTCAAACCTAGACAAATCCATCATGCTTACGGTCGGTCATTTGTTTGCTTCTTTTAATGGCGTTGTTTTCCCTTTGCACATTTATTAGCATTGTAGTTGTTTGCTCGTTTTGAGATACATTTATAGTTAAAATTGTCTTAGTTATGTTAACTATGTAATTTCACCAGATAAAAGGTAATAATCATTGGATGTCTGGATGTTAAGTTATCAGCTAAACAAGCTAAGCTAACGTTAGCAGTAGCTTGTCCATCAGCACCAAGGGACATTCTTTCACACACACATACGGGTATTGGGCCGAGGGCGACACCGTACTTCCGGTATCCGCCGATTTACGCGAGGTGCAAGCAGGCCATGGGTTTAGCCCAGGGTCGGCGTCATGGGGGGTCATTCGCGGGCCATGCCCCCCCAAATGAGTCACTGTGCCCCCCCAACGCAGGGTGGGCAAGCCTTGCCACTTTGCCGTTTTTTTCTTTTTTTAATCATATAGGCTAAGTGAAAACGTTTCCACTAAAGGTTTTTTGTGTGAAATACATCAGAAATAAATAATACAAATATAAAACACAGCCTGAGGTGTGCTCACTGCTGCTCTCTGATTGGTGTGTTGCTTGACCAATGACCCCCGACCTTTTTTTTGTTATCATTACGTGGCTGAGTGTTTAGATGAAAGCCCAGTGGCAATCTGTCCATCTGTTACACTGATTATACAGTAAAGCCATCGAAAATAATATGATATACAGTACAGTACAAGTACATGGGTTTCATTCAAGCTCTGTGTGTGTGTGGCACGAGCGCATTTTGTGAGTGCGCGAGCGGTAACGTGGAATGTTGTTAGCATTTGGTTAGCTAGCTATGCTAACGGATATAAAGGGCTGTTTCTACACCAAGGTGGAGGAGAGTCCTCTCCTGTCAGACTGAGAGGATCTTATAACCTCAGCTCAGTGAGGTAAGGACTCTCTCAGTGTTTAGATAGTTCACTTTAGTGTAAGTTATCTCAGTGGGTCTCAAACAGTTTGGTCACCATTTATGTAAGTATTTTCGAGGAATACCTTTATATGATCATTATAGTTATTAAAGAGAGAATAAATGAAAAACGGGTATGAAATACTATAGGACAGTAACACAAGAATACAGTTTAAAAGGGGAATGATTAGTGAAATATCCATAAAGAAAAAGTAAATCTGTGTACAGTTCTGTTTCATATGGTTGCTGAGAGATGTAGGCTATCCATAGATCTCTTCACTTTGCTCTCAAAGTGCACCAGATTGATGCATTTAACTTCAATATTTTAAAAATAATCTTCCTGGGGGAGCATGCCCCCAGACCCTCCTAGAGGAGGTTAGGTCCACCCCCACCTAAAACATGTTCACATGGATAGGATACTAAATACATTTGCACACTTTTTATATGATGGCCTATGTCCATATCAAATCAAATCAAGTTTTATTTATATAGCACATTTTTCAACGATTTTTGGTCGAGCCAAAGTGCTGTATATACAGTATAATACAAAATAACCTACAGTAAAGACACTTTACAGCAAATACAACAGCACAGTTTGTGCAGAATATCAGTATGAGAAAACGACACCCTCTGTCCTTATATGTTTCTGTTTTAGTGGTCGTGCCACAACCGTGCATGTATGCACAAGTCATAGGTGCACTATACAATAGCACTACACCCCTGCAATGTGTGTGAAAGACAATAGACTTTACAGCATGTTTTTTTAAATTGAAGTTGCGTTGGTGTTTGTGTGTTGGTTGTTGACGGCAGTGTGTGCCCCCCCTTGGTAAATGATTGCCCCCCCATTCGATTTGTTCTAGAGCCGACCCTGGTTTAGCCGTACACCGTCTAGGTGTTGCTAAGCTTCCTGTACTGAATATCATAGTCTATTGCCTTAATAAATATCTAGTCAACTCTAAAATACCACATATATGCAATGGCATGATAATATTATTGTGACAAGTGGGGTATTCGACTGGTGTTTCCAGAAATTAGACGTAGATGCAGCCAAAATCGACGGAGTCTGTAAGGGCAATCCGACAACCCACACAGCTCTAGTTACGCTGGTAACGACCTAGAGCACACCCCTCAAGTCCAGAGATGTAATCCGAAGACATGCAGCGATTTCTTCGGTCGTTAGTGCGCTCTGCCTTGCTACGTTAGCTAGCTGTTTATATTTGCACTTCCAGGATATTTGCACCTCCATGAAAATGGCGTATTTATATATATATATATGGCGCGTGTTGCATTGTGGGTAGCTCGTGACGTCACTGTGTGTGAAAGAATAGTTGTCTTCTAAGCAGTGTTAAAAAAAATACGTTTTAAGTAAAACTGCTTGATTCAGAATTGTATTACCATTTTTTACCAATCTTTTTTTTTTGGAGAGGAGGAAACCTCTGAGATTTTTAACTGGATCCGAATTATCTGCAATGATGTTTTCCTAACCAGGAAGAGCAGACTGCACACTAATGATCCAAAGTTTCTTCATGACTCCCCAAACTCTGTCTCCTTCATGTTTTGATTGAGAGACCCCATTGTGACAGAAAACTACATATTGTGCATTTAAACAAAAACTCTTTCATACTCTCATATCCTCTCATATAATACAAGCCACATGGTACAGTTATTATACAATGATGTAAGATTCATCATCAGAATAGGCTTTTCCCCACTCTTGTGTAAGCATATGAGTGTGTGTACAGGAACCTGAGAGAGTGGGAGCGTGCATGCTGCTCTTGGCATCCTATCCTCAGTCACCCACGCAATGGAGTTCATACACACACACACACACACACACACACACACACACTCATAACATGCACGAGACAAGCTGGATAACCCCACAGGCCTTCAGCAGATTGTTGGCAGCCACTCTATGCCTTGGGGGCAGATAACACAAAATAAGACCCTGGTAGAGTGCCAGGTAGTACTCTGTGAACAAATACACGCAATAATTCTGCTCTGAAACACGTTGATGGAAATGGCAAGAACTGGAGCAAGCAAGCAGGCGGATAAATTGAGTACCGAATGTATTTTACTGTCAGTAACTTTCTCATCTCAGGCCATTTATCCAAAATGTCTACTGCATCAAAACTATGGCATATACTTTCTGTATTTTATTTTTTAGCTTAACTGCCACTTGTTCTTTCTGAGTGTAATGACTGTGGTTAAATATAATGAGATGAAAGTCAGATTTAAGTGAGCGTTGATGATTTGTGTCTCGGAGGTATGTGAACTCTGTGACTAAGGCCTCTCTCTCTCTGCACTTGTGTTGTGTTCCAGTACTGCAGACAAGAGGAGATATGACAGTTCATTTCCTGCAGTCCTCTTTATCCTATTCTCTCCTCTTGCTCTGTTTTATAGCTGCAGCTCTATGTGTGTGTGTGGTTGTGTTTTATGTCCCTTCCATCTATACAGGCCCTTTTTGTGTGTGCATCAGCATAAATTGATCCCCTTTTACCCCCTTATAAGCACATACACTGTTACCAGGCTTCATCGACCTGCAGCCAGTGTTGCTCAGTATGCATGTATGTGTGTGTATGTATGTGTGTGTGTCCTGCATGCTGTCTGGTCCCTAAGTGATTACACTGATGGAAGGGAGGCGCAGAGCTGCAGGTAATCAGTCTTGGGCTGCCTCAAACCTGACAGAAAGACACCCGATGAAAGGGCGACACTCTGCCCCTCCATGCTGCAGCCCTCCACTAACATATAGGTTTACCTTTAATCATGCCTGAGTAGATTTTAAAATCATGCAACAGCAGGTGCAGACAGTTGCGGCATCAATCTCAGCAATGACAGGGGGCTTTATCTGCTTTGTGACAAAAGGGTCAGTGCCAGAGTCAGAGGGCAGATTGCAGGGTCAGTGTGAGGTTAGAAGTCAACGCAATCTCTATCCTGAGGGCAATCATTCATTATTTCCTTAATCTCACCTTGAGCCCTTTCCTCCACCAAGAAGCCAGCGGTGGAAGCTATGTTCTGTTCCCTGACAGCATCTGTCCCCTGTTTGGAAAATATGTCATACAATTGCTCTAATTAAGTCTGTGTCTATCATTAAAGCCACATGCTTAGAGGGGTTGAGGTGGCTTCTAATAAACCGGTGCATCCTGCTGCAGATTGTCACCAGACAAGCAGCCATCTTCCCCATGCGGCCTCTGCTGCCTCCTGTCGCTGCTGCTCTAACGTATGCAAAACAGGACCTGTGAGGCATCATATCTCTCACTCATCAGCATTTCTCTTTCTACATACCCATGCCTCTTTCTCTCTGTAAGAGGAAGTGGCTATGCTCTGCAGGGTGCAGTAGCTCGCAGGAAGAGAGAGAGAGAGAGGAGGGGGAGGGTGCATGCTGGCTGATAACACTCGACCACAAATGGTTGAGCGAGGCTGCTAGAGTGAGGGAGCAACGGGAGCAAAGACGGGCAGAAAGAGTAAGGAGAGGAGAAGAGAGGAGAGGTAGGAAGCGAGAGAGGAAAAAAAGAGAGGATGAGTGGGAGGCATCTGCCTCTCTGGTAGTATTGCCAAAGCAACGTACGAGAAGAGGTAGCTCGGGTCTATGGACGTATTGTTGCTGCAGCCAAGAGATCTTCTGCGGCTGTTTACTTCGGAGCGGGGACGGATGGATGCTCAAGCACATGAATGTCGGAGTTGAATTGAACCACTCTTTGTTTCCTCACAGCCGGTGCTTTCAGAGACACAAGAGAGCAGGATGTGGTATTGCATGCGTCGGTTTGCTGGTATGACAGGGGCTTTCAGGTGAGCAGAACTTGAAACCAACCTGTAAGCTGACTCCATGACCCCAGCACACACCTAAATATGTGTGTGTGTTTCAGAGATGGTTACATACTCTGTATGAGTTTTAGCATGTTCAGCTGCAAATGACCAGGTGCATATACTCTATGGTCTGTTTGTGACACCGGCGTCAGAGCACACACAATCGCGTCAGGAGGAAGTGACAAGTCTCGCTCTCGGATTTCCTGGTCCCCTCTCTGGTGGCACGCAAAGCACCGAGTTCACCTGTCTCGCCCTCACAGGCGAGACCTAAACTCTCCTGGATGCATCAGCAGAGGAGCACTGACTTGTTCTGGATGTGTAGAGGACAGTTGGAAGCGGGTGGACTCTGATCGTGGCTGAGTGTCACATCACTGCTGTGCTTTTCGAGATCAAAAAGGACTTCCTCAAGCAGTCAACGTGCTGTACCGGTGCCGGGGGCCATCTCTGGACCTCTCCATGACTGTCAATGCAGTGCTGACCCCCTCAATGACCAGCAGTAACAGCATGAGCAGCGGGTACTGCAGCCTGGATGACGAGAGTGAAGACTTCTCTTTCTTCACAGCCAAGACCTCGTTCTTCCGCAAGCCCAATCAGGCACCTAAGGTACAGAATCAGGGCAGCACTCACTCTGATAGATGAAACTGTGAGAGTGAGACAAACTCAGATTACGGCTTTTTCAGATGTGCTGGGAACCAAACAGCCATTTATATCAAAAACATGCTACCAGAAAGCAGAAGTGTGTAGAGGAAGAGGTGATGTGTAAGCAGGCCTGTAGGTGTGTGAGAGTGTATGAAGGGGTTACTGTCAAACCTCTGTTGTGAACCATTGATCTGCCGGCCTTGTTCAGCAGCCTTGATGCCTTAAGGCAGCTCATTTATCATGTGAGGGGCTAAAGGATTTAGCATCAGTCACAGAAACAATATGTGTGCAGTGTTTTAACAGAGAAACTGAGATAATGATGTTAACCTACAGATTCCATAGAGTCCTTATCTCTACATTGCGTGGGAGAGGTTTCCGTAGAAACAAAGCTGGCACTTTTGCACTAGATCTGTGAGTGTGTGTATTTGTCTGTGTTTGTGAGGGGCAACTACTTAACTGTAGAAAAACCATTTTCCTTGTTACCATAGCAACTCGTGGGTTTGTTGGCACACACTTCCTGATACTTGTGTTTGGTCTGTTGTACATTGTGTTACCTCACACATTCTGTCAGATACTGTAACTCTGGGACAGACCGTGTTAATCACACTGCAGGGTCCCCGGATGCACAGCAGGGGAATATTTTGAAGGATAGAAAGGTGTGACAGATAGAGAAGTGGAGATACAAATTCTTTAAACTACACAGACATTTGCATTAATGTAAAACACGCTCAGCAGCCCTCTTCCTGCTGTCCTCGTCCTGGCGGTGCCTTTGGTGTCTGACTTGGAGAAGGTATAATTCCTGAATAATTGACCAGCTGTGTTGTCAGCATGAGGAGTTAGCTTTGCTGCCATGAGGGTATTGGGGTTAGCTTGTCTAGGCTGCCTGCACAGAAGCTGCCAGCTGATGGTGCCTGATTTCTACGGCAACACGCAACCAAAGACAAATGATTTGACATATTAGTAGCCATACCAGTACAGTAAGAGAAATAACATAGGAGGGGCTGGTTCTTGAATGCATCCACTGGTAGAGCATTCAAAGTAGATATGCAGCGCAAGTGTCCTTTTTCTGTCTGAGTATGAAAGAGTGATGAAAATATCAGAGTGGAATAGAGACATAATCATATATTTTGTTTTAAAATCATTCTAAATGTGTCACTGTGTTAAGTCGTCCTCCATGCATGCTCAGGGAGATCCTTACGTTCATCAAAACAGCGGAAGGGGAGCTCAGACCTTCTTTTCTTTATGAATTATTTCCAGAGCTGAACCTTTTGCTCCAGTTTAGCCAGCCAGCTGTAATGTGTGTGTGTGTGTGTGTGTGTGTGTGTGTGTGTGTGTGTGTGTGTGTGTGTGTGTGTGTGTGTGTGTGTGTGTGTGTGTGTGTGTGTGTGTGTGTGTGTGTGTGTGTGTGTGTGTGTGTGTGTGTGTGTGTGTGTGTGTGTGTGTGTGTGTGTGTGTGTGTGTGTGTGTGTGTGTGTGTGTGTGTGTGTGTGTGTGTGTGTGTGTGTGTGTGTGTGTTGATAAGCAGGGGGCCTGTTCAGTTTGTCCTTTTTAATGTAGTGAATGAATGAGTTATATCACTGTTATATAAAAAGCAGATACACACATTTACATGTACACCTCTGCAGAATTTATTTTATTGCACACATCACGTAACATTGGTAGGAAACTGTGTGTAGAGTGTTTTTGTTACAACGACTCCTACACTCAACAACATTTCAGAGGGACATTTTTTATGTTTTTAGATGGTAGTTAAACTTTTAAATATTTTTGCATAACTTCAATTCAATTCAAAACCTTTATTTATCCAGGTAAAATCCCATTGAGATCAATGATCTCTTTTTCAAGGGAGACCTGCAGCAGTAGGTTCCAAACATTCACTAAAACTTCACATTACAATGCTTTGAAAAGTACTTGCATTAGCACCATAAGGACCAGAAAAAGCATCAAAGGATTGCATGATATCATGTTGAATATCGTGATAACAATATCACTGGCGATATATAATCAGGTACGAAGGTTCAGTTCTGCCTTCTTGCTGCTTTCAGAATTCTGCCTAGATACAACTAATTGCACCAATGAGAGAAAATGCTGCTTTCTACTGATACTCAATTTCAACTTACAAAAAAAACTATAGCTGAGTGTAACGTAATAGTCTTTCACAATGTGTTAATAGCACAAGTTGACTTGCACAATGACGATTTAAAGAAACAATATATTGTTTACATAATATATAGTGCTGAGTAGGCATGCATATCGTTGACTTTTTTACGATACCGATACCACTGAACGATACCGATACTCAACCGATACATATCGTGATACTTTGAAAATGTATCATCCCAGAATTACTCCCATGAAGCGCTTTACGATATATTACATATTACATGTCAAATGAATATTAAATTAAATTGTGGGACTTCTTGGACCTTTTAGTACTGAACAAACAATGAAAAATACATTAAAAATATGAAGAAAACCGATTATGGAATATCTTTTATAACACCCGCCATCAGGTGTGCCGCGTGAATAGCACATCTTGTCAATGCAAACAGACCGTATAGCACCGTTATAATTCATGTTAAACCTGGGATTCGACTAGAGAACAAATACATAATAGAATAATGGTCATGAGATCTCGGCATTGGACAAACAAACAAATCTCATCTTTAAAATCAACATTTACCTTCACTGGTGAGAGAAAACAAATCCCATCACAGTTCAGTTCATTTGTGGGACTTTTACCTTTCTAGTATTCAACAAACAATGAAGAAGAAAAACGATTGTGCAATCTAATTTATAACACCCGCCGTCACGGGCCACGGACTCACTTTTAAAATAAATTTGTTGTTATTAGTGCTATCATATCATTTATTTGAACCAGCTTTGTGAAATTGACGGCATAGACGACCGCAGCTGTACGTGATTACGAGACGTTATAGCCGACGGCAGCTGCTGGTGATTGTGTGTGTGTGAGAAGGAGAAAGAAGCACAGAGCAACATCGTTTTTGACCTGAGAGAATATGTGTTTGTATTTGATACCTTTTTGTGTAAGTAAAAAACAAACTATCCTGAGACGTATTTTGTCCGAGTCACGCTTATTTGCTATCTGTGAGCCGAATTTTGGATTACTGGAACTACACCGGTATGCATCCCTAGTGCTGAGTATGGTATACTTGTTTTTAAATAAGCATAGTGTCAGAGCATTTTCCCTTTTGCTAAAGTGTGTGTGAATATGTGAACATACATGTGTGTGTGTTGTGTGTGAGTGTTTCCCATGTCCTCAATCTTGGCCAGTTGTAACAGATCCTAGAGTGTAGTCTTACCTGAAGATCATGATGTCAACCCTGCAGACACACACACTAACACACACTTGGAGGTTTGCAGTCAAGAGTTTGGTCAGGTTCACAAAAAGCCTGCAGACACACAGCATAGTTCGGCACATGGTTTAATGCTGACTATTTGCAGCGACATTTCAGCGAGTCATGACCTCTCTTGTCTGATCTCATCAGAGTGACAGCATCAACACTTACTCATGTCCTCCTGAGGGGGGTGTGTGTGTCTGCATGGCATGTGTGTGTGTGCGTGGGGGAGTGTGTGTGACCCTTATGTAACAGTGCTAGATATCTTACACACTTAAGCTGATTTGCATCTATCTATCTTAACATCTATCATTAAACTGGATTAACTGGCCTGGTCCTGTGCTGTCACCTGTAATATTGTTATCAAATCAAGTTTTATTTATATAGCACATTTATAAACGATTTTTGGTCGAGCCAAAGTGCTGTACATATAATAAAAATAGCCTACAGTAGAGACACTGTACAGCTAATACAATAGCACAATCATCAATGGACACTTTACCAGAGGCTGATTTTTTTGGGGAGTAAAACGGACATTTTGTTTTCCTATTCTTCCAGTTAAGAGAAAACATTTGACTACTGTCATTAAATATTGTTTGCCCGAACGTTCTGTGCCCAGCACTGTTTGTGTGCTCATTGCAGCAAAACCTGATAGTGTGGTGTAATTCAAAATATAGGTATCAATTGCTTTTAACAAACGAGTAATAGATCTTTGGAACCAAAGATGCACCATGGGAATGTAAATTATTCCCATGTCACATCTTTTTATTAATTAACCAAGGTGTAACTGCATTGAGAGTTTTCAGTGTTTTTACCTCTCTCTTTATTCATGTGTCTTGCTGGTTGTTGGCTCCCTTTTGACCCGGTCTAACAGAGCAGTGTCCCAGGACTTTGTGGAACTCTCAGGGGCGGAAACTCCTCTATTGTCCCCTGACCACTCTCACTGGTATGCGGACCCGGAGGGCAGGGCACTGCCTCCGATACATTTAGAAACTTGCATACAAACACAGGAATTCCTGCAAACTCACTTTGTTGCCTTAGACTGGGAGGAATCTAGAAAACAAGTCAACTCCTCTGTATCCCCTCGGATTATTATTTTCAGCCTCGATTTTACCACCCAGAGTTGTGTGGGTTTTTATTATTTGTATTTATATATTCATGATGCAGAGATACAAAACCAGTGTTAACTGGTCAGAGTGTAAATTCTTATATGTATTTTGATGTGTTTGTGTCCGAACTGATACCGGTTGTAATCATTGCATTTGTGACTTGCTGTGAGCATAATAGCTCTGTTGTTTCATCGCAACACGGACAATTACTATGATAGAAGGACCATGATGACAGAGGAGAGGCTGATAATAATGTGTAAGAGATAAAAGCAACAACAAAAAGCTATGTTCTCACTGTTACACACACACACACTCACACACACACACACACACACACACACACACACACATACACAGTGCTGTCTGTCTATCTCCAATCGTCAGCCTTGACATTTTAACTGTTACATTTTTTTCACCTCTTCCGCTGAATGTCTGCAAGGATGCTACACTCGTGTTGTTTGTGTGTTATTTATTACCACAAGGTGTGCACTCACTGAGACACACTCGTGCACTTACACACCGTATCTGTGTTGAAGGAAACAGTGACTTCATCACAACCCGAGGACTCCCCTACAGATAGCTGCCCTGCATTCTCTCTCTCAAACACACTCTGTCTCTCGCTCTCTCTGGCCCAGAAAATGCAAACGTACAAGAGAAGGGAAAAAAAGTACAATTATGAGATAGAGAGGATGCATCCCTCTGTACTATAAATAACCCAGTCAAACTCTGTGTTGCTAAGGCTGGCTCAGTAGCCGCTCTTTCATCAGTCCTCACCCCTTTCTTTCTCTGCCTCCCATCTTTCATAGCTTCTTTCCTCCCTCCCTCTCTGTCTTTCGCTCTCCTTTTTTCATTCCTATAGTCACAGGGAAATGAGTAAGGGGGATGCTGTGCTCTCAATATTCTCCTGTTGTGATGCTGAATGCGAGATGTGCTCCATTCACATTTCCTGTCCCCATGTAGAGCTGCAGAGTTGTGCAACCACACTGAGGAGGAAGAGATAGTGTCACCCATCAGCGTCAGTCACAGAAGCAGCTGATAAAGATGGAGGACATGAGAAGGAGGTGTTTTCCCACAAGTAGTGCAGGAACAGGGCTAGATTTTGTTTATTCAACAACATATGACACCTTTTCTGCCTGGAAGGCTTGTAGGTTGGGATGGTTTCTCTTGATTCTGGTGTTTTCCGATATGTATTCGTCAACTTGAGCAAGGCTAGATGGAGAATGTGTTCATAGACTTGTTATTGAAGCAGCACCATCTGCTGGTTTAAAGAAATAAGAACGAACCAATATTTGTATATTGACCATTCTCTCTTTGCCTCAAAGCAGAAGGAAGCAAAGGAGGAAGAGACGAGAGGAACAAAGGACCTATCAGAAGAGGAGGTGTCGAAAAGGATAGAGGAGTATAATGCTCAAGTCTCTGAAAATGGCATGAATCTGGTAAGTTCTCAGCACTTGTTGTAGATGTTGAGTGCACCGTACTGTATAAGGTCAAACTAACAATGAAACTAGATTATTATAACTTCCTCTCTTTCATCTGATGAATAGAAACAGGAAACTGAGCTGGGCCATAATGTTATTCAAGCGTAGGGGAAACTTTTAAACATCTAAATGCTGTGTGAATTCTATGAGAAAATAAAGCTTTTACTTGATTTATTAACTCTATAAACATTGTGAACGTAACTTTATGTAGTTAATCACTAGTTTTGAGTCTTCTTTACTACAGCATGGTGTCCATTTTGTAAATTGTTGGCCCATTTTGATTAAAATACACTAAAAAAGCAGGGATAACTTGTGATTGACAGGGCCCAACAATGACATATTGATTTCAGTTCACGAAAGATGATTATTGTATTGTTTTAGTGGCCTAATAATGTTAAGCTTTGGTGTATTTAGCTCCACCCTCTAGTGTCACATCCTGGCAAATAACCAATGGCCAAAATGCCAAACCCAATGCTTCAAAACTATATTCCTCAAACCAACAGGTGATGTCGCGTTGTCTTCATACATAGAGTCAGTGTATGGTTTATTTGCCAAGAGTGAGAGGAGAAGACTCGTGCTTAATCGTCCCACCAGCCCCTCAAAACTCATGAGTCAACACCATATATCATATTTGTAAAATGTGTTGGATTAAACGGATCCAGATTAGCTTTCTTCCTCCAGCCCATTCTTTATGTTAAACTAGTACGGGCATGAGATCGGTTTAGACCTTAAAAAAACAAATAACTGTATTTCCCAAAATGTTTAAAAGAACCACATACAATTTGTTCCAGTCTTGATGATCAGTGCACATTTCAACACTAAATTGTGCCTCCACTCTCTCATGTCTTCCTCTTCCTCTCTGTGCGTTGCAGGCTTCAGACGGATCCTACACAGGCTTCATTAAGGTCAACCTGAGGCTCAGTCGGCCGGTCACAGTCCCCGCTGTAGAGGCGGGGGACTCGGAGGGGGCGTCCAGGCAGGCGGGGGGCCGCACTCAACCGTCAGAGGGCCAGGATGTGTCGGACTGTGGGCAGAGCGAAAAGAGAACATCCTTCTACCTACCGAGCGACTGTGTGAAGCAGATCCACATCTGCTCTCTGACCACCGTCAGCGAGGTCATCCAGGGCCTGCTGAAGAAGTTCATGGTGCTGGATAATCCCCGCAAGTTTGCGCTGTACAGGCAGACGCACCGCGACGGACAGGGTGAGGAGAGAACACTGGTGGAAGCTAACTCATTACAGCGATGGAGATTACATCTCTGTGAATGGAGCTGTATTTTTATGGCTCTGTTCTTTTCCGAGAGCGGTTCATCATTCTTTATTCAGTGGGTGGGAGATGCAAAAAAATCATCACAGGAATTACACTTGGATCTAATTATAATTCAATCAATATAGTTTCATTTGGGTGAAAGGATAAACAACTTTAATTTACTGGTAATGATCAAAAATCGGAATATTAACATTACACAAGGTGGCGCCATATCCCTTTACTTTTTCTGTAAATGTAATATTTCTAACATACTGTATCCTCTGAATGAAATGTGTTTGTAAATAGAGTACCTTTAGCCTTGAAGACAGTTAATGCACCTAATGCATTTAACACTTAATATTAGGCATAATACAATTATAATGTGCAAAAAGATGGATACAAAAATATCTGGAAAACACTTCACATAAGAACATTTTAAAGAATTATAATACTTGGAGCAAAAGGTCCATACTATGTCATACACATTTTAAGTTTTAGAATAAAAAAGGGGAAATATGACACATATACAAGTAAAAGGGGTGTTGGTCCATGATCGGAAGTGTCATTTTTGTACAAGCTTCGTAAGAATTACATTGTTCGTATACAAAGCTTCAATTTCTCATTTGCAGGAAACACGTGTAAATGACAACAATAAATTATATGTTTCTGTCCCGTTCAGATCTGCTCCAGAAGCTTCCTCTGTGTGACCGTCCTCTTCTCCTGAGGCTGATAACAGGACCCGACCCAGAGCAGCTCAGCTTTGTCCTTAAAGAAAATGAGACTGGAGAGGTGGAGGTGAGAGAAAAAACACACACACACACAAGATAACATAAGTGGGACACACACAGTATACATACAAACATACATCTGAACATACCTACACAAATATACAAGAAAATAAATGGACCCTTAAGGGCTGAATACTTCCCTTTTGTTCAATTATGATCCTCAAAATAATACATTTATTTCACTGCTCCAAATAAGTGGTACATACACACACTCTTGCTCTCGAGGCAGACACTTCTGCGCTTTGTATTGTTTCTCACAATTGTTTTATTTTGTAACATTAAGGGGAATTATAGAGAATACATTTTACTTTTTGATTGAGATTCATAGAAGGCTATGAGTAAAAACGTGCTGCCATGGTGTATTAATCTGTTTCTGTTATTCTCTGACAGTGGTATGCGTTCTCTGTCCCTGAGCTTCAAAACTTCCTGGTGATCCTGGGGAACGAGGAGGCGGAGCGCGCCCGGGCAGTGGAGCAAAAATACACCGCTTACCGACAGAAACTACAACGAGCCCTACAACAACATGACCCCTGACCCCTTCACCTGCTACCTTACGACCTCAACCCAGGGAGAGACTGACCCTCTGAACGCTGACCCCCCTCCCCCCCCTCAAGACCCCTGATCTATTCCAGACTGGAGCCGGAGCTGAACTTGTCCTCACCCTCCAACCCATGCACCCAAACATACAGTACATCCACAAACTGATGCATACCCTTTCTCAGGACGCATTCAAGCCCCCCCACCACCCACACATCCCCTCCCTGAGGAGAGCATCATGGGTGGAAAGCAAAGTGCAAGGCAACAGGTTGTGTGGTCCATTTTCTGATTGGACAAGCAGTGTTGCCAAGGACACACACACACACAGAAAGATCCCATCAACTCAACATCTAAAACTCTAGCTTGAGACCTCATTTGGGGCGTATTATGAATCAGTGGTGTTTTTAAAAGGTTCCCTCTTGTTCTGCTGCTGCTGCTGCTGCTTCTGCAAGTGTTACTTATGCATGAGTCTCTCTCAGCTCATCCCCCTGCACACAGAAGGCATGTTTCTTTTGATGGAAGGACAATCATACTGTGTCTTCTTTTTATTTAATTGGAATTGATGTATAGGGTTATCATCAGGTGTATATTTTTGTGCTGGAGTACAAGACGTGTGAGGGAGTTGTTTGGTATAAGAGTTTGGATGCGAGAACAAGAAGGAATAGAAAGTTCTAAGAAGGCGAGATCATTCTTTGATTTTTCTCAGGGAGCATGCGTTGAGCAAAGAGAAAACCTTAAGACGGAAAGAAACAGAATTCAACCCTATAACACACTTTATCCCACTGTGTCCAAATCTCATTATTAAAATGATCTTTGATCAGTTTATTTTTACTTCTTAAACAGAATCAGAAATTAATCCAACCTAGTTAGCAATCCCTTCCTCATGCACAAGCCCACAACCCCTGCATGAACGCTGAGCGAGGAAATCCACAAACCGTTACAGATTTGACACTTTATTGTAAAAGTGATTTTACACTGTTCATTTATGGGTTGCATTTGAATGAGAGAGGATTTATTTTACACCAAAGTTTAGAGGGACATATCCATCGAGAGGATGTTAAAGGGAAGAGAGACATTCAGAATTGTATTTAATTTAAAGGTGGTGTATGTAAAAAGATTAAACCAGCTTCTGTTTTTGCACATTTAGATGCAGTCACTGAAGAGCTCATGACTCTAGGGCTGGGCATGCATTTCTGCTTCTCTTTTCTTTTCACCCCCCTAACATCTACTCAAAAAAGGAAACACAAAATAAGTAGAGTTCAAGATAAAGGCTATGATGTACCAATGACGTGTTTGCAATGCATATGTATAATGTAGACACTGGAAAAAGAGTGACAAGGTTTAACTTTGTTGTTATTACGGTGAATATTGATATTCTTTTGGTATCATTCCTACTGGTGTGTGTGTGTGTGTGTGTGTGTGTGTATGTGTGTGTGTGTGTGTGTGTGTGTGTGTGTGTGTGTGTGTGTGTGTGTGTGTGTGTGTGTGTGTGTGTGTGTGTGTGTGTGTGTGTGTGTGTGTGTGTGTGTGTGTGTGTGTGTGTGTGTGTGTGTGTGTTCATCTTGGGCAGTGAGGATAATGTGAATTATGTCTTATAATGAGTGTCTTTGTGTCACCATTGCTTCCTCGTTGGGCCTCACTTATCAAGTGCACATGTGATGTAAAAATGATACAAATATTTGGCGTGCTTGTATCATAAATTGAATACATTAAACCAAAGCTTATTTACTATAAACATTTCCAAGACAAACATTTTTGTTATTTAATACCATAAAATCATTGATAAATGAGGCCCGTTGTCCATAAGCACATGTTTCTCAGTAGACCTGTCTTTTTTCTTTTTTAACGCCGCCACCCAAAGCCCAAGCTGTTCCTGCTGGCAGTGCCTTTTGTTTCACGTGCCCCCTGTGGATAAGGTAAGGTGTGTTTCAGCACACAGGTGCCTGAGTGTTTGTGTGGGTGCTTTTGCATGTGTGCAAATCTGTTTCTTGGGCGGTGTATCGCATTTATTTTCTTTCCCTTCCCTTAACACATTTGTCTTTCCAACCAAAACCCTCTGTGTGGCGCGAGTTATTTATTTCATGGTCCACCTCATCCATATGATATTGTGTCAAGGGATGTTGAGACTTAATGCTTTTTTTGCAATTTATTTTTGTTTTATTTGAAGAAGTGTGTTTAAATATAGCAGTAGAACTGTACAGAATATCACAATGAAATAAAAAGGTCATCCCTTTATTGAAATGTTCTCATATCCTAATTTCTCTGGCTTCCGTTTGTTCAACCCTTACTTGAAGAAAAATCTAATCATTTATACCTTTATCACATCACGTAAAAACATTTTGAAAAGTGTTAAACTACAGGGTGTTATTCTAGAATGAATCCAGGAGTAGTTACTTGAATTGCAAATGCATTTCTCATAGTTCTTAAGTACAGGGTTGGGTTACAACAAAAACAAAGAGAACTCCCACTTTGTCCCCTTCTTCAAGCTGATCTGTTTCAATGAGATACATAGAACTGAATTCCGACCAACCAATGGAGTGAAAGTGCGAGAAAAGAGATCAAGCATTTGATGTTTTTTCTTAAATCATGTGCATATCATGTTCATATTGTAGACAGCATATTTAATAAATAAGTGCCCGAGGAGGATTGTATATACCGATTGATTTCACATCTCATAAGAGAGACACTAAATGCATTGTGAGGTGGTTAATCTCTTTTAGCCAAATGTGATGTCCAGACATGCCCCAAGTAGAAAGTGCTGAGCTTTTCATCTAGTTTTCTTCACCCGAAGCCAGCTGTATTGCGTTGTAATCACCAACAGGTGGCAGTACCTCCTCTACACTGCAGGTACTATCATAACATGCAAAATGTAAACTGTCAGGCAGCGTGTATAAAGTGTGATCTGGTTTGCATGTGTTATGATATGCTTGATATGATAAAACCTGTTCTAGTGACACTTTAACACAATACTTTCCCTGATATGGTCTGTTTTCATTCAAAGGGCATTCCAAAGGTGTTAGACCAATAAACCTGCAGGTGTCAGTGTCTGTCACAGGCTCTGAGACCAAATACAGCCACCCACAACCCCCACAAGGACCTATAGGTAGCTTTGCACCTGGTCCCATCTCTTGCTGGGGTTGTAAATTCACCAGCTGTGATTAGAGTGCCTCTTAATTTACAAACTTACACCTTGAACCCTTTAAGAGGAAAGTGCAATAAGCAGATCAATTTATAGTCACCCTACTCTCTTATACACCACCGTCCAAGAATAATCAGCACGGCCAAGCTGGCCTTAAGGGTTGGCTGCTGCCCAGAGGGCCACCTAAAACTGTGTCAGTATGCTTATTTATGGCAGCAAATATAGACAGACCCCTCTTCTCACCTCTGAGAAAGAGCTAAGATTAGCATCACCCTCTGCCAAGCATGTATCACTGTCTGAATTTAGCCTGTTCCCCTTCTCATGCCGGCCCAGTCTCACTCCGTCTGTCCTCTGCCCTGCCTCTTGCTATATCGAGCTCTGTATGGATCTCCATGACTTCTCCAGTTTCAGTCCATGGTTCAGCTTTCCATGGCCAGATGCACTGTGGACCTGAGGAAAGGTCTTCAGAGCCCTTGGTCTGCAACTACTGGTTTGTCAATGCAATGCATCTGTTTATTGTTTATCAACATGTTATTTGGATAATAAAATACCCATCACAGTGGCCAAGCTGACGTCTTACAATTCCCTATGTTTTCTGACCGAGACTCCATAGAGCATCAGTCACTTCCCTAATGTCATAAGTTCCAGAACCTACTTTTCTTTTGATAGAAGATTGATGAAAAGAGCAACTCTACTCTCTACTCGCCCCTGACTGTCAAACATGCATCTGTAAAAACTTCTGGTACATTTTAATTCATACTTTGTAGAGGGTTAATTAATATGTTTACTAAACATTTGCTAATGGTTTAAAAAGCAGTTATTAGCCATTATCAAGCACAACCTTTTATATTCTATTTGTGTTTTTAGGTTTCTCTTTCATGCATTATTTGACCTCTGACCTTTTGTGAAAGTGATATTCAGGTTGGACCAAAATTAGTGTCTAAACAAATTATTAAGGTTTACACACACTTCTTTGAATATGTTTATAAATAATAATGACTTTTTAAGATGTATAACTGATTTATGACTTTATCCTTTATTCTGGATTTGTCACTTATCAACGTTAAAGATGTTTTATTAATGTATTGATGTTTTGACTTGGATAACTACTATATCAATTAACCTATTGTTCTCGGTTGCAGTTCTAGGTACATTTTTACTGGGGGGGGGGGGGGGGGGGGGGGGGGTCAATGCTGGGGCCAGTTATTTTATCAGAGGCACAGTTAATGTGGGACGAAATAGACATTTATAGTTCAGTTTAAAAATGAAAGTGCACATAAAAACCCATGCAAACACATGATTGGTATTTTTTTCAGTTACAGCATTTGTGATCATAACTTGGTTTAATTTTTTATTAAATTATAATTTTTAAAAACAAAACACTTCTTAGCTCAAGTTACAGAGCACAACCATCAGTGCAACACTATCCCAAATGATTAAACATAGACACATTTTTCCTATTCTTCCCCACTCCATGTTTGTACCACCGAGTGTATTTTAAAAGAGCAAATGTACAGTAACACAGTATTTCTGAAACACACTTGCATTGGGCGGTGTGCAGAGCACCAGGAGTCCGCTGCGGGGCGCCCTCCTGCCGGCTGTGGGGCTCACCAAGCCCCGCCCAGCTCATCAGTCATACAGTCTGCCTGCTGACTCCGGGCGCACTGAAGACGCCCTTAGCAACAACACACAGCTGCGTCGAATAAGATACTCCTACCGCGGAGAAGAAGGATTAAACATCGCCGCTTTATTGCACTGAGTACAGGTGATTCTGCGAAGGCGATGCTCCGGGTGTGTTTGCGGTTAACATGGGGCTTAGAGTACAGCTAGCCTACTCTGGCTAGCCATCCCTAGAAGACGAGCGGCCCCAAGCTGTCCCGAAGGAGGACAAAATCGTGGGGGTTCACCGAGTGGTAGCTCCGCAGCTAGCTCACTACAAAGTCAGCTAACTGGGAATAAGCACGGGAATGGTGCTCTGTATTGACTCCTTGTACCGACAGAGAAAGGCGAGGGGCACACGGGTCAGACCACCGAGCTGCAATATTTGGACTCAAACTATTTTTTACCAGAGGGAGCGGCTCTCCGGCGGACGAGTGTTTTTGTAGCAGTGCGAGCTAGCGGGCTAGCTAGCTGAAGGAAAACGACCCCCACCGCCTGCTTAGGTTTTCCAACTGTAGCTAATGTTAGCCAGCACGCTGAAGACAAAACTCTGTGGTTTAATCAAACCATGATAAATTACAGTTAGAGCCAAGGAAACAGCTAGCTAATCCCAAAGGAAAGAATAACTTGAGTTGGTTCTGATAAAGTGCTTGCAAACACTACAGTTAAGCAGAGTAACACTCGCTGTTAGAAAAGTTGCTTCGTGAATCTTTTTTTATTCGGAATTTTTTCTTCGCTTCGGATGCTGGCATCACATTTTAATTGCAATCATGATGATAATAAGCAGGAAACCAGAGGGCCCAATAGCAACAGGTAACTACAACAAACATTTTGCACTTAAAATGTGTTTTTTGTTTCTTAATTGTTTAATGCAGATTCGGCGTTAATGTGGAACAAAGACTAGCTGCCAGCGTGGCGACAGTTTCTAAAGTAACTATTTACAAACATGTAATGTTCCTGAAATTGCTTTAATTCACTTTTGAAAAAAACCGTTGACTGGGTTTAAATGGCACGTCGTGTCAGTGTGTGCAGAGAACGGACAGATGTTGAGGGCCTTTCAGAAGTCTTCGGTTGTAAACATGTTTTCTTTTGCTTTGATATTGATAACGAGACTTATGTCTGTGAATGTTTTGGAAGACAGCCCAGGAAGCTCCGCGTTGTTTTTACACATTGTTCGTAAGCCATTTATTTTGTTATCAGTGATAAGCCTTGATACTTTTAAACAACTGTTTCGGAATGTGTTCCATGGCCGTCATAGTTGTTGTTTAATATGTAGCCTTATGGGCACTTTCCTAATCTTTCTGTGGTGTGTTTAGGCTTGTGGCAATGTTTAAGTTTGCATTCTAGACAAAGTTAGAACACTTTGTGACATTGCTTTCCAGATAGTGTACATTGGACGCATTGTCTGCAAAGAGACACTTTGTCCAGGACACAAGGAAGAGGAGGAGACAAAAAGCTATGACTTAACCCCTCCACACCACGTTTTATGACGCATGATCTGCAGTAGGTCTCTTTGCTCGAACCTTGTTCTCTAGCCTTTGCTGTGCAGAGGGTTTATTTCACAATGTGTAGAGCCAGCTGCAGTAGACTAGATGTTAGGGGATATAGAAGTGTGTGTGCGCGCGCGCCCCCCCTCCCCTGAGAAAGTTTAGTTGGAAAACAAAGTCAGATGCTTTACAGAAAGTGCAGACCCCCACTGGGTAATAAGCAGTTTGCAAAGGGCTAATGAGGCCTGTTCTTGCCTTATATTGTGCGTGCCCTAATGCCCCTGTTTACTGTGCTGTGCAGGTCTAATGCGCCTGTTTCCAGGCAGCAGGTATAAACTGTCCTGTTTTGAGCTCACGCAAGGGACACAGGCTTTGACGCACCTGCACATGGTTACAACACTCAAGGGCTAGAGAAATATTCAAATCCGCAACAGTTTCGGTCTGCTTGCTAATGAGCTAACCAAACACAATAGCTCTATAATTGGCTTGGGCTAACAGGCTGCTTATCCTTATTTCAAGCCATTAGAGTTTGTTATGTCTTGTGCAGTGTGGACTACAGGACTGTTGAGATGATGAACAGCCGGCTGGTGGAGGTTTGTCATTTGAGTACCTGGCTTCCTCCTACAGTCCTCACCCCCCCCCCCCCATCCATCTACTCTGTCATCTCACATAAAGGTGTTTGGCTCAGTGCCACAGAGGTGAGCGAACACACTATTGAATGACAAGCACCAGCATCCACCCATAGGGCTCTATTTCTGAGCACACCTGGTGTGTGCAATACATGACTTGGTCTGAATGGACAGATGGAAAGATGCTGTCGTCAGAGGCATCTGTTACTCCCATTAGGCCAATAATACCACTTGCAGCGCTAGCGATCTCGGACCATAAGCCCTATCTAAGCTGTTCAGGTCGGAGCTCTGGCTTTGGATACAATGTATTTGACACAATAGATACAATGGATGTATCTGCTAATAATGGCCGCTTTTCACCGAAAATATGGGTTTAGTTTTTGTGGCAGACAATGTGCCCCGCTGGTCTGTAGAGAGGAGCAGTGTGGGGCTCTCCTGCTGAGTTTAGTTCACTGGATTTGTTACCAAATCAATTGTTTCAGGCTCAAAGTAGTCATTGGTACCGGTAGGTTGCTTAGTAAACCAATCAATGGGACTTTGCTTGGTTTAAACAAGCAAGGGAGATTAGATGGTTTTCCATAGACATCGCCTCTGAACGTCAGCCTTTATCCCCGAGTGCATCTCTGTCGCAGATCTGATGATTCCGCATTATCACGCTGACTTATTTGTTCCGCTCTGTTCCTTCAGCACGCCATGGGGATGGTCTCTATGACTCGTACATGAGGACAGACCACATCCTTAAAGACGACGCAGATACAAACAGTCCGTCTGGGCTGCCCCCCATGCCCAAACACACAGTAAGTGCACACACCCAAACACACATACGTATATGCACAAACCCGGCAAATCTGTATTTCCTGTGCCGGAGCACATCCTGTTCCTCTGAGATGTATTCCCCACTCAGCCCTGTTCCCATTCATCACATTCACAACCCTCCTCCTTCTCCCTTTAGTCTTGATTTGCAGGCTTATCTCTGGTCTTATCTGCTTCCTCCAACCTGTGTAATTCAATCACGTGTTAATAACTCTTCTTCAAGAGAGTAACATGTGATCAATATTGATTCACTGCCCAAGGGGAAAAGTGATGTTGGAGTACAATTTTTGCATGGCCGTGTCAGATCAGTTGAAGTGAAGAGGCCATTTTGTGTCTCTAGCCAAAGTTAATGCAGTTATCAGTCTTGGGAACTTTTGTAGTTTTAATGTGCATTTTACAGTTAGTTGGAAGTACATTAAGCACAGAGCATACTGTATGTCACCATTTGCATTAGCTAAGAGAAAAGTCTTTTTAAAAAAAGAATGTGTAATGCAGTGTAGCTGTGCATATTCACAGTTATCAGTCCCTTTTTTATTGATAGAATGTAGGTCATAGATTTCCATAGACTTTACATGTAGTTAAATATAAATGACTTTTTATTGCTGACAAGTAAATAAACGTACATTTAGTGGTCAGACAACACCAGTCCTTAGGACATTAAGTAATGCATGTTCCCTAATTGTCCTGGTGGGGTATCTGTAAGCTTTGTTTGCCTCTGAAAAGCCCCTTTGGCAGAAAATGCACACACACAAACAATGATACTTCACCACCCCCCACACCAGCAGAGGGGGGAAAAAGGCTGGTGTGATATATTGTTAAGATTTATTGGGCTTGAAAATGTGACCCAAAATCAACAATCCACATTCTCCCTTCCCTTCCACTATCTCATGTCATCCTCCCATCAGTGTTGCTTGTGCATAGGTTAGTCCTAGTTTTCTCTTTAGCCTTGTCCTTCTTCCTTTGTATTTTCTGTCAAACTCTCCGAGGTAATATCCGCCCCCAGTTCAGCATTTTGTACAGCCCAGTTGCCTCATGCTCTATTAAAGACAACTGATGTACTCCCGCTTCTTTGTAAGAGTAAGGCAAGAATGATTACAATACATTGTAGTAGTGCTTAGTTCTGGGTCATAATGCAACATTAATCAGTTTTGTTATGTCTATGACCCATATCTCCGCTTGACCACGACTTGCTGATGTGTCGAGTTGTTGCAACGCTCAGACTGTGTGCTTGAGAGGAGGAAAGCGTACTTGGGTGTTTCTCTGACAGAAAAAGAGATTAGCCCTTCTTCATCTGTTGCAGATTTGCACAAAGAACACTCGGTATTCATTGGTGTTAGGGAAGATTTTCGCTCCTGCGGTGCTTGTCATTTTCATAACTTAAAAAAAAAAGTCTAATGCGCCCCTTGCCCATTCCAATCAATAATCCATCACAGATAGTGCTCCACATGTTGAAAGCTTTGATTTTTAAGGCCAGTGTTTGTGGCGGGGTGAGTGGGCTCAATCGATGACATTCACTATGTTCATAGTACAGCTTTGAGACAACAGCTGCACCGGACCCTGGGTCAGCAGCAGGGCTGTTGTAATGAGTTAAGACTATATGGTTACATGTATGCAAACCCCTCCTGCATACCACCTCTATTTTAGGACTCAATCATACAACACAAACACACTCCGAGGCTGAGTCCTCTTTCAGTGGAACATGTCAACACTTTTAATGTACATTTCCTTGTTGTGTTAATCGGGGGACACTGTTTCAGCCATAGCCAACCTGCTCAGCTGTGTGTGTATAAGCCGCAGCCAGAAGCTCCACAGGGGAGCTAAGTTATTTAATCACAGAAGAGAAGACATCATGTCCAAAGATCTAGTTTCCCTCAAATGGGTGAAACTGCAGGGACATTAAATACAGGACCTTGTGAAAGAGAGACAGCTAGACACACTCGGTAGATGTGTCTGTATATATAGGAAGGCCACGCTGGGTTTATGTTGGCGTGTCTTATTAACATCCACACGGCTTCTACAGTTTAAGAATATAATCTAACTTTAATGACTGTCATTTCCCTTGAGCTCCATAATCTTGTGGAGGGCTCTTTCCGCTGGTAAGAGAGAGAGAAGGGAGGGAGACGCAGAGAGAGGAGGAATGAATTCCTGGGGTTGCTGAAACCTAAAGCAAGGGCAGGACACTCGAGCGTTCCTGAAACTCTTCTGACCTTACAGTTGTATTAGGCAATGGTGGATTCGTCACTTTGAAAAGTTTGTCTGCACATTTGTCCAAAAATAGATTACAGTGTTTGTGATTGTTTAGACCGGAGGATAATTCAGTCCCTGTCACTCAAATTGGATGTTTGTGCGTTGTGCAGTCGTATTGAGCCCAAACAAATGAAAAGATAATTAAAATACGCAGCTAAGCAATAGCAATACCCTTTACCCAACAGCTTGCAAACAAATCAAATAGGAACCATGTTGGTCATTGTGTATGGGTTGGGGTGGGCCTGCGTTTGAATTTGTTGCCAAACTGGGTCTAAATCCAGTTGCGCTGGTTCACCTGCTGCCTTCTGTATCTCTGCTAATGACTCTCTGCTCTGGTTAGCTGTTGATATTAAGGCTCTTGTCAAACGAAACCTGTGATAGATCTGCTCACTAGCTAATTCCGCTTTGTTAGTTTTACATTCTTTTATTTATTTAAAACATGTAACATATAAGTCAAACAGTAAACGTATAGCAAACTAAGTAACGTTTTCTTAAACAATATTATAACGGACTGTAAATATTAAATGTGTGGAAAGGAGTAGGAAAAAGTTAGCACTTATAACATTAAACTTAATAAATAAATATCAAATACGACACACAACTATCCCAATGCTATTTTTAGTCACCCTACTGTTCTGGCAAAACTAGTTTGACAGATTAGTTCACTTTATATATTAATAAATAGTAACGTTCAGTTGTCTCTGTTTCCCTTACAGGCTAGTAGTTCACACTGTCTCTCTAGTCTGACACAAACAGAGCGGTCCTCTCTTCTCTCTATTGAACACATTCATACAACGCAATGATCAAAACGTCTGACACAATGAATCGTGCTCACCGTGCTCGTGGCCTTTTTGTCAATGGTTTGTCTCTTCTTCCTCTCACAGGTTGTCAGTAACAAGACTGTAATGAGGGAACCGGTAAGTGTGCGAGGTGGCCAGCTGAAGGTCAAGTACCTGTATGAAGACACCACCAACAATCGAAAGGTCAACGCCATAACAACGGCCGCCCCTCTGAACAGTGGGACCACAGGACAGACGCCCAGTAAACCCGCCGCGGTCTCCAGCCTGTCGAAGGAGCACAGTGTAGACAGGTAAGAAACAAACACACAAGGACACGCCGCTATAACTTAAAAACATCCTAGTAAAGTTTTCTAAAGTTGCCAAAAACACATTCACAAGCAGGAGGAACCCCCCTTCACAGCATGTTTCTGTCATGCTTGCTTGCCGCAGCACTGAATCCAGTAAGGGCTCCAGTGAATCCTCCGGCACGCTGGGCGTTGGAAGTGGGGGGAACATCGGGAAGCTGTGCGGCCCCCTCACCCCCGACCAGGCTCTGAGGCTGTACCGATCTCAGCTGACCACCCTGGAGCAGACGGAGATCCACTCCTACCCAGACATCTACTTCGTGGGACCCAATGCCAAGAAGAGGCCTGCCGTCGCCGGTGGCAACAACAACTGTGGCTACGACGATGAGCAGGGCGGATACATTAATGTCGCCCATGACCACCTGGCTTACCGCTACGAGTTCCTCAAGGTATTGAAATCTTCCTGGCTACAGATGATCAATTATGATAACTTGATAACTCTCATTGTGTAAATATTTGGTGTTAAAGCCTACAATATTGTCATGAAACTAATATCCTGGTTTTTGTTACAAAATATTGTGAGATTTGATTTTCTTCAGTGTGTCAAGTGTTTGGGCGATCACAACGACACCGTAGAACTACTATAGTCTCTCTCTGATGTGAAGCTAACCCAGTCTTTTCTCGGGCTCTCCTCAGATCATTGGTAAGGGCAGCTTTGGCCAGGTGGCGAAGGTGTACGACCACAAGCTGCAGCAGCACCTGGCTCTGAAGATGGTGCGCAACGAGAAGCGTTTCCACCGGCAGGCGCAGGAGGAGATCCGCATCCTAGAGCACCTGCGCAAGCAGGATCGCAACGGCACCATGAACGTGGTGCACATGCTCGAAAACTTCACCTTCCGCAACCACATCTGCATGACCTTCGAGCTTCTGAGCATGAACCTGTATGAGCTCATCAAGCGCAACAAATTCCAGGGCTTCAGTCTGCCTCTGGTCAGGAAGTTTGCACACTCCATTCTGCAGTGCCTGGAGGCCCTGAGCCGGCACAGAATCATTCACTGTGACCTCAAGCCGGAGAACATCCTGCTGAAGCAGCAGGGCCGCAGCGGCATCAAGGTGAGACCCCTGGCACGTTCACCTGTGGCCCCTGCAGAGCGATAAGTGGTTTCCTACATTGACTCTCCTCTCTTGTCTCCACCAGGTTATTGACTTTGGTTCCAGCTGTTTTGAACACCAGCGGGTGTACACCTACATCCAGTCTCGTTTCTACCGAGCTCCAGAGGTGATCCTGGGTTCCCGCTACGGCCTTCCTATCGACATGTGGAGCTTCGGCTGCATCCTGGCCGAGCTGCTGACCGGCTACCCGCTGTTCCCCGGCGAGGACGAGGGCGACCAGCTGGCCTGTGTCATGGAGCTGCTGGGCATGCCCCCCCAGAAGGTGGTGGAGCAGGCCAAACGCGCAAAGAACTTTATCAACTCCAAGGGCCACCCTCGATACTGCGGGGCCAACACCCTGCCCACAGGGGCCACCGTGCTGACAGGGTCTCGCTCTCGTCGCGGCAAGATGAGAGGCCCCCCAGGTAGCAAGGAGTGGAGTGCCGCGCTCAAGGGCTGCGAGGACCCCACCTTTACTGACTTCATAAAGAAGTGTTTGGACTGGGACCCCTCGTCACGTCTCACCCCTAGCCAGGCCCTCAGACACCCTTGGCTGTATCGCCGCCTACCCAAGCCCTTACCAGGGACCGAGAAGAGCCAAGGGGCCACAATGAAACGGCTCCCCGAGCACCACAGCACCTCTTTCCCTTCCATCCTGGCCAAAGGGGGGCCTGGCTTAGGCACCACAGCTGCCAACAACAAACTGCGGGGCCACATGATGGGAGACTCAGGAGAGACCTTACCTCTTCGCACGGTCCTACCCAAACTTGTCTCTTAGAGAGAGAGAGAGAGAGTGCTGTCATCTCCTCTCCACCTCTGCACTCCTCAGGAGGAGTCGGAGCACAGGAGAACATGGAGACTAGGTTTTGAAACTCGTTTGGTTGTTCTTTTATTTGTTTCTACTGAGAGGTGTCGACACCCCCAGTTCCCGGTTTTTAATATTAGCTGAGCAGAGCAAGAGACAATAAATGAAACACTCAAAAAAGATGTTTTTATACAGAGGATTTTCTTGAGCGGCTGTGGAATTTCTCTATACAGCCACTGATGAGGTTTGATTTTTAGATAATGCTTTTTAAAAACGTCCTCGTATGAGTGGACGGCTTCGTAAAGGAGCAAATGTTTTTAACCTGCGTGTGTTCTCACGTCATGGTGTGTTTTTAGTAAAAACACACTCAAGCACACCTGCACTGTCACTTGCCTCACTTCACACTCTTTCTTAACTCGCAGAGCACGCCATCCCTTTCCTGGGAGAGTGTTCATATGAGTGAAACTTGAAAAGGGCTACAGAGATTACTCTTATCACACTAGAGTTATTAGCAAGCAAAGATTTGTCTGATCCAACGTGCGCTAATGTTCGAGCCCCTGTACACAAATGTCCCCTTGAATACACAATAAATGCCTTTACACAGGTAAAGAGGGACTGGCATTATATGGTGAAGAATGAGGTATACATTTTTTAGCAATAAGTCTTCACTTCTTTGTCTGTTCTAATTGTGCTCTTTTTCTACTTTTCCCGGTCCCTGGTGCTTGCATTTCAGCTCAAAATGTGACGTTGGTATGTGTGCTTTGTGTGTGTGTGCTTTAGCCCTGTGGTGCTACTGTGGGAGTTGTCGAGAGGCTGTCGGACAACCTATTTACAGCCCTCCGCCTCCCAACTCCCCCATTTTAGTGTAAAGAGTGGGGGTGTTGGGAGGACAGTAGCTCCACTCAAACTGTCACAAAGGTGTCACCATCACACTTCACAAACTGAGCCTGCCATGTGAGGCTGGCTCCCATAAACCAGTATATATATATATATATATATATATATATATATATATATATATATATATACACACACACACACTGGTGTAAGTGCACTGAGGTGCAAGTCACGGCACACATACACCTGCGGGGTGGAAAGTTGGCTGTGGAAAGTTAAAAGTTGTTTGAATGTCACAAGCCCCTGCCCCCTTATTGGCTGCTGGGATCATTGGCAGCGGTGCACTAATCCTAATGGAACAATAGGTGCGTTCAATTGTAGGAAAAAAGGAAGACGGTATGTAAAACAATGAGCCACATTTTTTTAAATTTCAGGATGAGGTGTAGATGAAGAAAGAAGTGTTTCTCAGGGAGACATACTTGATACATCCCTTAATCTTATATTAACTGTGTTCCACTTACAGTCCTCTGTCCCGACTGTTGATGAACATGCATGTAGTTTTGTCCGCAGAGAGCGAGAGAATGCGTACATGAGTGTCTGCAAAGGGGGTCTGCATGCTCCACAATCTGACCTAGATACTCTCCTCCCCCCACCGACTCTTTCTCTCCCACTCTTGTCTCATGTAGGGCAGGGAACCTCTTAAACTCACACAGACAGTGAACCATGGTGCTCTCCAAAACACACACTCGTCAGGTGCAGGTTGTATGGACCACACCGCTCAGAGTCCCTTCTCTTGTCCCTCGTTCCCTCAGTGAATCTGTCAGGGATTTCTACTCTGTCTCAGTTTTTTTCTTTTTCTATAGAAGTGAATTCTATTTGCTATTCAGTCCAGAATATCACAGGATTTAAAATGCAGGAAAAGAGGAAAGTATACTGTCATGTTGTAACTAGTGGTGTGCGTTAGTAGGAGGGTGTTTGGTGTTCCAGCATGAAATCACAAACTGTTATCAGAATGAGTGACTATGAGAAGAGAAACTGTACAGTAACCAAATGAAGTTGTGATAGTTTCTTTTTCTAAAGAAAATAAAAAATGATTATTAACTGAAATGTGCTACTCTGGGGTGATTTCTAGTATGAGGAAAATGCATATTTTGATATTATAAAAACGACCTCGATTCCACGAAGGGGTACACAAACATTCCCTTTTTAGGTTTGGCCAAGTCCAGTTTGAGCAGTTCAGTGTCAGATAAGATTGCCACAGAAAATGAAAGATTTCAAAACATCTTAAAGCTCAGTTCTGAGGAAACCTTGGAGTTAAGATAGTGTGACAATAAATGAAACAAAACGTCAATCAATTCCTCATTTGTCGCCTAAGCTGACGCTCTTGTAACCAGCAGTTACGGTGTTGTTCTTTGCTATGCGACACCTGGGGCCCGTGTTGTGAAACAAAAGTGTCTCCAGGCGTCCCCCGGTTCACTCGGTACGGTGAATCATCATAAAGTGAGCTGGATTTCTGTCTGATTAGATTACAGATCCAGTGAACACTGGGGACTCTTGATGAGTCAGCAGCCTGTGACACAATTTAGAGGCAGCGTGTGATACTGACACCCACTTGTTATTATACACTACAGTGAAAGTCATGAAGATCACAGAATAAGTAGAACAAAGCGTGAGATATATATATATATATATATACATATACGAGTGAAGACTGTGTCTAGGCTAAGTTAAAGGCTGCATTTGCTTTCTAATAACGTAACACATCTAAATGTTGATTAATATGGTGTGACAAAACATCAGATTGTGGTTGAAGCGAGGTGTCCGAGCCGGGTAGACACAGCTGCAGTTAATAAAATGTATGACATGCACAGGTTTGTTTACAGGGAGATAATGAGCTAGTGTGGAAAATAATTGGTGGTATTCTTAATTTATAGCTGCAGCTGCTTCTTCCCTGCTGTGACGCATGAAAGGAATCTTTCATGATTAGTCAACAGAAAATTGTCAACTTTTTTGATAATCCATTTACCTTTTTGAAGTAAAGTAAAAATAAAAAATGCCATTTTTAAGACTGAAAATTGAGATTATTTTTGTTTTTCTTTGCTTTTTTTATATCATATTAAACTGCATATCGGTTTTAGACTGACAATACAAGACGTCACTTTGGACCTAGAAGAAATGGTATGGACATTTTTCAAAATCACATTTAGCCATAATTTACCTGTTCCAAGATTATTTTGTATCTATACGTGAAACTATGTAACACCTCCTCATAATGTGCCTCTGCTTTGCTCCTGCCTCTCATACCACCCAGTGTGTCATGTGTCCCATCTGTAGGGTTAACAGAACAGATGCACAACACCATCACAAGTTCTCCTGTGAAGACAAGAGTGGGGAAAGATTGACGACTATTTGATGATGACGGTAAACCGATCGTCAGAGACGCTGATGATTCATGTGTTTACACTCGCAGCCTGGTGCCCTGAGGTAGGAAAAAGTCAGGTACACGTAACAGGAGGAGGAACTGGTTGAGCAACATCGCCTACTGAATAAGACGTGCACGATTTGGTGAGAGGGTGGCTGAGTATGTTTAGGAGAATTTTGAGCCAATGCCAGCTGATCTTCAACAGGAGCGAGGTTGCTTCAGGCTAAAATGACGTATCGTTACCGTCTTGGCGTGGCTCATTCTGTCCATCAACAGGAAGGTGTTCGGGATTAATCAAAATATTATGTGATCAGATTAGACAAACATAGACATTGTTAAAACAGGAGACATGAACCCCTGTTTTGATGAGCTCAATGGTGATTCTCCTCTTCAATTATGCGTAAGTGTTATTCACGTCATCAAGCCAAGTGCATAACATAACAGTGAGTTTTATCTAAATAGTTGTTTCTCTCTTCTCTTTCTATTAATGTAAAAACAGATTAGATCAATCCCATTAGACTCCAATCCCGTCACCTTCTGAGCATATGGTTTAAAACTCACATCCTTACATCCCCTTGGCACACTGACTTCTATTCTGTGATCCACACACGTTAGATGGTGTCTTCCTTCTCTCTTCTCTTCGGATGAGCCTTCAGACCATGTGGAGCGGCAGCAGGAGTTCTTGTTGTGGACGGGGACTGTTGACAGCTCTGTGATTACCACCAAGGTTAAGAAATCCTGACCTGCTTGTTGCATCATGTTTGGCTCAAAGTGTAAACATCTCTCTATCCTCTTTATCTCCTCGTTGATGTCATGTGGATTCCTGTGATAAAATGGAATCAATCTATACCGTTCCTGCAGTTGGTTGTCAATACACTTTGAGACGGATCAAAGGCTTGAATCTTTGTTTAGTTTGAGGCGCAATCTTTATTCTCACATAGGCTACTTGCTAGCTATGCAGATTTGCTTTGGTGTTATCCATCCTGTTTTGAAATATGCCTCTAGCCCATTAAAATATAGTTGAATAGAGTCAAGCAAGGCAAATATGAAAATTGATTTGTTATTACTGCGAGCCAACCTTTTTAAATCAATGTTTTTAGTGTTTGACATAAACTGCCGGCTGTAAATGTAGTTATTGGGAGTTTAAAATTGGTCCGAAAACTAGAGGGATGACAGCAGTTGAAAACTCCAAATTGTGCTAAAGATATACTGTACAGTGGGGGCCAGTGTCCCCTTCCCTGTTTCCTCCTCCTCCGTCCGTCCCGCTTGCTTGGACGAAACCCATCTTCAGACTGAATAATTTCTGAAAAGCACACCTGTACGGTTTTGCGAATGCATGTTGATATGCTATCAAAGTGACAAACAAATAAATGCTATGATTACAATTCAAACACACACAGGTGCACAAACGCACACACGGTATAAACAAGCCAGACAGTGACGCAGCTGGTAACTAACTGATCTTTTTTTTTTTTTAAAGCACGTCTACTTGTTCTTATGTTTTGTGCAAGCTTCTTTAATGGACGGTGCAACCAAAAGCAACCCGAAGCTTCCATCATCAATTTGCAGGGTTGTTACCTACATAGTTTTGATGATGTTATCGTATATGTTTGCTGCTACCACAAAGGCTCTGAAAGTACAGAATATGCAAACTGTACATTTGCACTTCCCTTTGTTCTTCCAGTAGATTTATTGTGACAGGACATCCAACCTGTATTTAGCAAAATGGCAGAATGACCAAACCTTGAAGGATTCCACTGAGTGCTGCCACCGCCTATTATTATATGGTGTTCTGTTTGTTCACATATTTGCACATTATAAAACATTCTTTATGTGAGCTCTGTCGTGATCCACCAGAGGAACTCGTGCTGTCTGGTCCCTAACTTCAACCAGAACAATGACTCACCGCTCCAACGCAGGTTCCTCTTTACTTCACTCCTCCATTTATACAATACTTGTTCTTGCTTGATATTGGAAGGGACAAAGAAAATCTCACACAGAACTATAAACACACTCAGTCCTGGGTCATAGAGTGCAGACACACACCAGAGCTATGTGTGTCGCCTGGCTTTGCGATGGCAGCAGCAGGAGAATTCCACATTACTCCCCCCACCCTGCAAACCCACCCCAACACACACAGAAAGAGAGACAACACATGTCCCCACATGCACAAAGGCAGAATCCAGCCTACTGTTCCTTGCTCATACACACACACAATGACACACTCACAGCTGAGAGCACACTAGTCGTATACACACAAATGCACAGCTGAGCACATGTCCACACAGGCTGAACAGATGCAGATCGTTGGGAGAGGTGGGGTTGTGCTCCAGGAACAAATGCCCATCCAACCCACCAATCTACATTCCACACAGACTGCAGCGTAGAGGATCTGTGAGCATGCGTTGCCTCTGGTTTTTTGTTGCATTCTGTTGGGACCTTTAACTCATCTTACTGGTGGAAACCTAATCTGCTCATCAGTGGTTACTGTATTTGTCACTTGCATATGCAAGACCCCATATTTAGGTTTTCAGTCTTGTTTATCTGGCTGGGTCACAGTTGGGCCTGGAATAGAACACGAGTCATCCCCTGTCTAGAGATGAATCTCACTGTCTGTTTCTCTATATGTCCGAGTGTTTGTATGTGATAAGGTTTCATCTGTTTTTATGGTTGTCTCCCCAACTCTCTTATAGCCTGAAGGTAGCATGTCTGCTTAGCAACACTCTGGGAAGAAGCTCCAAGGACACATCAAAGCTTTCATTCCGCAATATCTGATAGCCCACCTACTTAAAATCTCTGCGGAGGTTATTTTCCACAGTCTGCTCTTCTTTCACTGTATAAAATAAGGAGGCTGATGAATAGATTTATCATAAAACATGCAGTTCAGAGGTATTATCGTGATTTTTTTCCCCTTCACAATAACCAATGAATTTAACTGCATTATTGCATGCATTAAAATCCTACTATACTGTACAAAGATAACCGGCAATTTGGACCGTTTTATTTCTTTTTGAAACACGATAAAACGATTATATATTTATGTATTTGTGCAGCACTTAAAAATAAGGTTTATAAAATGCTTAACATACAATAAAACACAACAGCAGCAACGATAATAAATAAGCAATGTAAACAGATGAAACTGAACACACCAGCTAACAACAGATCAAAACTGGATGCAGAAGAACAAAAACATTGGAGTAAAGGGCGTTATAAAGGGACAGTTCACTCTATGATAATCTTAACCCTACATGTTATTCCCTGCATACGTCCACCCTCACACTACCAAGAGATGTTCTGATGAGCAGAGTGACCCAAGGCTTCCAACATGTCACTGTGATGCGACAGCAAGCTCTGCCGCTGCGATTCACATTGTGTTTATGTTCTGTGGATGTAACTAAAACAATGTAGGTTATCTGTGATAAAGCTGTTGGCTCCTATTTTCTGGTCAGGGGCCTGCTGTCTGTTGTCACAACCTCTCTGTTGCTGGGTAAATGGGATATTTATGGTTAGTTTCAGGTTTCACAGAGAAAACAGGACAACATTTAGCGGGAATTTTTGGAGTTTGGAGAGACACTCATCTGCTGGTATGAACCTTGGCCTTGTTGCTAAGATACCTCAGTGTACCTCTCCTGCCTCAGGGCCAAGGTCCATACTGACATTCAGGAACCTTGAAGCATAATTG